TTCTTAACAGTGAGGGTGACAGAGCCCTGGAACAGGCTGCCCAGAGAGGTTGTGGAGTCTCCTTCTCTGGAGATCTTCAAAACCCGCTTGGACGCAGTCCTGTGCCACGTGCTCTCGGTGTCTGGGCGTCCCTGCGTGTGCAGGGGGGTTGGACTAGATGACCCCTAGAAGTCTCTTCAGCATTCTATGATTCTATGATTCCGCTTTATATATTTGTAACTATACAGCTATATATTCTTAACTGCACAGCTAGTTAATGCATTAATAACATAAAAAGACTTAAAAGGTTATTTTGGTCTCTGCTGTATATACAGTTTTGAGTTTTAGTTCATTTTAATAAGTAAAACATACTTAATGTTCAGATACTTTTCAGTATGTCTGCTGTGTAGGATACTTTTTCTGGCCTTTAAATATATTCTAAAAGCCAATGGGAGGCATGGCATAGAATGTGTTTTTTTTTTTTCTTCTTCATCCCTAAGATCAGAGGATTAAGAGCATTGAGTGCAATTGATTTAAATCAAGCTTGTAATTATGTGCTTAAACTTGATTGCTGGTTTAGTAAGTAATGTAACATAAGCACCAGCAAACAGAATAGAATCATATACTTCTTACCTCTTTCATGGCCTTTTTTGTTTTTTTTCTTTCTTCTGCTTTATATAAACAGAGAAACTTCTAATACGGCTCTGGTCTATTTTATATTTCTGGACAGTTCTTTCAGTATTGAGAAGAAATACTGTGCATTTCATTTAGGAGAAGTGTGTTTCCATTTCTATTGCATATTTTTTTTATCCTCTCTAATTCAAATACTTAAATACAGCACTGGATTGCACCTGGATTACAGAGGAGCGTGTTTCTCTTTTCTCTAGATGTGGCCACTCTCCAGTGTACCGTTCACGTGAGATGTCAGGTCGGGCCCTTGTTCCCTTCATCATGGTGAATGAGGTACCACAGACCATCCAGTCGTTGCTGAAAGGGCTTCCAGACCGCACCAGTCCTGGCCTACGACAGAATGCTGTTCATGGGACGCTTCGACAAGTAAGTTTGGGGTTTGTTTTTGTTTATTATTTTTTTTGTCATAGTTCATAGTCAAGTGAAGAGTTGTGCTGAACAACATTCACATGCTGTTGAAGCACATATGAAGGCTGCTTTTGAGCTGATTCTCTCAGGTGATAGATGTGGAATGCAAATATCAAAGGTTATTAGAAGACTGCAAGCAGTAAAAATAACAGCACCTACATTTCACATAATCCTTCATCTCCGGCTTTTAAAATGTTTTGAGGGCAAATATCTTTACAGATCTAAACGTGTATCTACAGAGTGGTTTGTGTGACTAGCCAAAAATCAGAGCAAATCTGTGGTAAAGCTCTGCTTCGCAACCGTGAGCACCAATAGTGTCAGAGATGCTGGGGCTTGTTCCCTTCCCGGATATTTACATATCGCTTCATTTGCTTTTCCTGCTCTACCGTCAGCTTCTCGTCAACCTGATAAGCTTTATATTGTATTCTGGTCAAAACATTCTGGAGAATAGCTCACTATCAGTTAGGAATCAGAAATTTTTTCATTCCTCGTAAATCGTTCCTCTGGTTTATGGCAGTCGGCTCAGTGTGTTTGATTTTTAAGCTATCATGGTAATAAGTTACCCATTTTATTGCCTGTTTTTCACAAGCAATTCTCCAACAAAGCCATATTGTACATGTTCAGCTCCGTTAGTCTGCCCCAGTTTGTAATCCATCTTGGTATATGTTCCCATTGTAACTTTTTTTTTTTAATCCTTTCCAGCATGTGACTTCCTTTCAAAATCATGACCTTACAGGAAACCTAGGTTAGAAGGAAATGCTTGAAATCCTTGTTGAATTGTTACTGTCCACTTTACCTGTACCCCCTCAATATATGTCCCAGCTTCCTGCTTATGTATATTAACTTATGTGAATTACATGAAGAAGTGGTAACTCCTTCAGTGTCTTAGAAGCTGATATCTTCTATTTTCGTTTGATTTTGTTCACCATGGCAGGTTGAAGCTTATGAAGGATTGGCTGTAGCTGCCTTGAGGGTAGAGGCTCAGCCGGTTGGATGTGGATTTGGCTGTTGTTTGGGATTGTCGAGGTTGTCGCAGATCTCTCCGGTGTGTTCTGCTCTGAGTGCCAGGCACTGGCACGTGCTTAGCCCTGTGAACGGCTGCTGCACCTGAGGAAAGGGGCTGCCATCGCTGCATGCCCTGTACACCTCAAGGTGGGTCACAGGACTTGGACCCATCCTGAAGTGTTAGAAAAAGTCCATTATTCTCACAGAGAGACCGAAGTGCCTGGTCGTGAGAGTCTGCACTGTAGTGCTCAAAGCCTTGGCATGCTTTTTAGTGACCCACTCAAAAAATATTAATGGAGGGGCAGCTCTTAAAGTGCACCAAGGATGATTTGTCTTGTAAGCCAGTGCTGTTAACTGCATTGTGTGTCTGTTTGTTGTTTTTGTTTCTTTTTCTTTTTCTTTTTCTTTTTCTTTTTCTTTTTCTTTTTCTTTTTCTTTTTCTTTTTCTTTTTCTTTTTCTTTTTCTTTTTCTTTTTCTTTTTCTTTTTCTTTTTCTTTTTCCACACTGGTGAGTCAGGAGTGGTCTCATTCTCTGCACTAGAGGACGTTTTTGGTTACCCTTGAGTAAAGTTCAGTGTGTAGTAGAAGGTAGCGCTGCAGTTTGTCTGCTGCGCTGGGGGAAGACTGCTGACTTGAGAATAAAGGTTGTGCAAACTCTTTATTTAATATTTAAATACAGTTTATGACTCAATCACTGAACTTACTGTTCCTGGTTAAAAATAACAAGCATTCATAAGAAGTCATATAGGGTGATAAAGACATGCAGCAAGGGAGCTTGCACTGTGTTGCTCTCTAAAATACTAATAGCAGCTACTGCACCGGATACTTGGCATGTGCCTGCTCCAAGCTGTTGTACCAAGAGCAAAGTGCTGTGACTTTCTGAGGTGGTTGGATACATGGTTTCAGTTTCCTTTTCGTCTGTGTAAGGGGAGACTTGAAACAGCTGCTGCAAAAATTTGTAAAC